CCCGCGCGGCCCCCCGCCGCGGCCCCCGCGGCAGCTCTGGGTGTGGATGAACTTCGAGTCGCCCTCGCACTCGCCCGGCCTGCGAGGGCTGGCCGGCCTCTTCAACTGGACCATGTCCTACCGGCGGGACTCGGACGTCTTCGTGCCCTACGGGTACCTCTATGCCCCACCGGCGCCCCGGCCCTTCGTCCTGCCTCGCAAGACGCGGCTGGTGGCCTGGATCATCAGCAACTGGAACGAGGAACATGCCCGGGTGCGCTACTACCGCCAGCTGAAGGAGCACCTCGCCATCGACGTGTACGGGGCACGGGGGCTGGCGCTGTCTGAGGGCGGCGTGGTGGAGACCGTCTCAGCCTACAAGTTCTACCTGGCCTTCGAGAACTCCCAGCACACCGACTACATCACTGAGAAACTCTGGAGAAACGCCTTCGCCGCCAGCGCCGTGCCCATCGTCCTCGGACCCCGCAGGGCAAACTACGAGCGCTTCATCCCCCCTGACTCCTTCATCCACGTCGATGACTTCCCCAGCCCCCGGCTGCTGGCCACCTACCTGAAGTTCCTCGATAAAAACAAACCCAACTACAGGAGGTATTTCGCCTGGAGGAAGAAGTACGAAGTCCACGTCACCTCGTTCTGGGACGAGCATTTCTGCAAGGTTTGTGAGGCCGTGAGGGCAGCCGGGAATCAAATCAAGACTGTTCGAAATCTGGCCAGCTGGTTTGAAAGCTGATGTTCCTGGCGGGTGAGGCTTGCCTGGCCAGCCTGTGCCAGCAGTGGACTGCGGCAAGGCGTAGGGAAGGATGGGTCTCACAGAGATCGTTAGCCGAGGTAGTACGCAGAAGGCTGTCATCAGTGAGAGAAGCATACAGGTACAGGTAAACAAGCTGTGATAAGCCTACAAAAGGAAGATTTTTATTAAAGTGCAAAATCATGAAAGTACAAAGAAACATCAGGCAAGATGATTCTTAAAGAGCAAAGTTAAATTTCCAGAAGTCGTACAGATCTGAAAGCTTTACAGTTGTGCACAGCTCGACATAAATAACCGATGCCAAGTTCTTCAGCCGTACAGCTGAAACCAATTTTGTCGGCTATGACAGCTTCCTGGACCACGAAACTTTCTTCTGCTTACAGGGGATACATGATCAGCGCTGGCTTTCTGTACTCTGAAGACAAAAGTGAATATTTTTAACAATGATTATTTTGCGTGTGAAAGCTATTTGCAGACAAATTCTGGGCCGCAAGTGTTGAATGTAAGAATGTAATGATACAGTAGCACTTTTTAGCAATGTTTGAAATTGCATCAGCCAACTAATAATGCTTTGAGCCAAATAATAATTCCATTTAGGAAAAAGCGTATGGAGAGGACTGGATCCGAGTGGAACAAACAGCTCAGATGATGTAGAGTACTTCTTCCACTGCCTAACAAAACCATAGGCACGTTTATCCTGTATCAAAGTGGAGAAGAACTTTAAGTACAGAAAAAGACAGACTGTAGAAAAAAAGTTGGAACATTTCCACCCTCCCTTTATTCAGGAATTAGAAAATGTTTACAGGAATCTGCATGTTTTTCTCTGCAAAATTACTGCCATATAGGAAAAAGCAGGGAAAAGCTGAGAACTACAGGGTTTTTATTACTATATTGAGTATGTATACAGAAAGGCTAACTTATTTCTCTAGTATCATTAAACAGTCCTGCTGTGTAGTGGTTGTTTTGGTTTATGGCATGCGTTTTTAAAAATTGTGCCGGGTGACAGACTACTCAGAATGCCACTTTGCTATTTGTAAAATAATAGTTACCAAGAAAACCAAACCCCAAAACTCAAGTCCCAAATCGCTGCCTTTCAAAAAGAAAATTACTGTAGAGAATAAGATCTAGACTGTTGGTAAAGTACAGATTGTGTGAGGAAAGAATATGAAAAGGGAAAGATCTACTATTTTTTTTTCCTTTGATTTTGAGGGGATTTTCCAGCTCAGTTTTTTAATCAATAAATAGGTTCCTAAGATAAAACTTCCTTCTCTCAGTGCGTACTGGGAGCATTTACGGTAGTTATTCCCTTTCAGACTCTGCCATTTTGCTGGAGTCTTTCTAGTAGTCGGTGTATGGTTACTTTTTGGTTACGTGTAATCTTGCTTCGTGAAATCCCAAAAGAAACTTCAATTGCAATTACACATCCTCAGGAAGCTGAGCCCTCCCTGCCCTTTGCAACTGTAAGGTTTGGTGGCAAAAAATGATAACCCACAAGAGTCCTGCACAAATGATTAAGGGATTCGTCCAGCTCCTATTTAAGGAGCTGGATAATCCATGGAGTTACCCAGACACTTCACTCGGAATAAACTCGTGGGCACAGAACAGGTGGGGAAAGAAGGAATTCAGTTGCAAATAAAAGATGGGCATCGGAACAGGTGAGTTTACTGGCATTTGTGAGTCATATTTAGGTTAGAAAAGGATTAGATTTGACTTGAGCAGTAAGGGATGTTGGGTAGGTGCTTTTAAGATTTATGAGCTGGCAGCCTACTGTAATTTATTTTAAATTAGATGTTCCCCATGATTAGGTAAGCATGGAACCAAGGATTATTGGAAAAAAAATCTAATAATGGTGAAGTTTATTAATAATTTGCACAAATTTGCCAGATCAGATCTTGCTGGCTCCTATGTTTATTCCCTTCTGCTTTTGTGCAAGGAAGGATGGCTGAAAGTACTTCATGAACCTTTCTGTTGTTAATGCCAGAGTTGCTGTAGAAATTCTATTGGGAAAGAAGACAGTCAACGCAATGTGGAGTGTAGTAGGGATGGTCCCTAACGCTGCATTTTCACTTGAACGGGTCTTAAGTGATTGTGCTTTAGCAAAAGCATATTCTTCATGGCACGCTCATCTGTTTCTGTAGCAGTGGTTACTACTCTCATAAAATTGGTTTTGATAATTTTAAAAATCTAATTAAAGTATAGCATTAACAGTAATAGCTAAGTGTCAGGATGATAGAATCTATCTCCCTTTGAAGCATCCTTTTTTTCTATTTAGTTTTTATCACAGTTCGTGTAAATGTATACAAAAACCCGATCTTAAAAGTCATGAACTAATATTTAAGATTGCACTACTTTTTATCAGGCTGCTGAAACTAGTGCATTTTTCTCAGTCCTCCTAAATTTTTTAGCATTTTCTGAAAGTTTCCAGGCACACAGTTCTTCTGTGTAATCATTGGTAATGCCACAGGCAGAAGATCAGGCTACAGGAGCATGGGAACTTCCAAAGATCACAACCGGTACTTTTTTCTCAGCCTCTCTAAGAAAAGCAGTTGAAATCTTGGATGAACTAGAGTTTTGTAAAATTCAGAAAAGAGCTGTGCAATAATTAAAGCATCATGTTTGAATAAGATATTCGCAGTTGTGCTGTATTAGTAAGTTATGCATTGAGTATATTCAAGAATTGTATAATGAAAGCTGCAGTCTTGTACTAATGATTGCAGAGCTCTTGCTTTGGGAGAAAAGAAGCTTTTTCCAGTTTCATAGTTCTTGCGTTAGCGTTGCACGCTTTTCCCTTTGGATTTGGGAGGAAATTCAGCCCTGGTCTACAGCTGCTGAAGTCAGTAATACAGCATCTCTATAAATCTAGTTTGGTTTTTGGCTCATCTGCTCCACAGGCTAATAGTTAGTGTACCCTTATAAGCTAAGGACTGGCTTTTGTAATTCACTTTGTAGAGCCCAAGTTCAATGGTGAATAAAAAGTATGAGCAAATTGGATTGTAGATCAGGTACCAGACTCCACAAGATACTGCAGGTGATGCATATAATCGATCTGTAAAAATTAGGCAAATGTATTTTCTATTTTAAGTAGAAAAAACTTTTTGAATAAATTTTGATAAAGTGTTTTATTCCATGCCTTAAAATATTGGGGTGGAAGGAGAGAAGGGAAGATCATTATTTTCTGGTTTTTATAAGGAGAAGAAATAATATTGCTTTTTGATTATGGTGTAAATGGAATAGAGAATTATGTGATCCTTTAAGTTACATATTGTATCTCAGGGAATTTTTTACTCTAAAGTCTCTTAGTCTTCATAGAATGAAGTAACTTTGTATTAATTATTTAGATTGACACTCAATAAAATTAAAGAAAGGAAGTAGCACAAAATGACCCTATTATTTTATTTCGTCTTCTTTCTGTGTTATGAAAGCTGTAGAAAACTGCTTTTTAAAGAGAGCACATTTCTGTTCGTGTTTGTTTAATCAATAGAAGTGGCCGATTGTCCTCAAAGAAGTCAGACCGTCTGACGTTGGGAATGAAACCTGGATGTGCCAGGAGAAAAATATTTTCATAGGAGAGGCTGTGCTGAGTTATTTTCCATATGAAAAGGAGCATTTATTGAAGTTGGATGTCTGCTGGAAAAATGTAATTTCAAATAAAACAAAAAATGTCTCTTGACCTACAGGGAATTTGAATGTGGTTGGATTTTCCCCCCCCCCTTAAATTTCAAAATGAAATTGAGATTGTGTTTATTTTGATATTCAGCACGTAGTTTTACAGCTACCTTTTTAGCTGCAGCTTTTTTCATCCTTGTTCATCGTTGTCTTCAGCTGAGCAACAAAAGACAAAGGGCCCAAAGCTCTTTCCCCTAAGCTTTTGTTAACACCGATTGCAGCACGGGTGATTGCTTACCTCTCTCTTTACTCATCTTCTGTACTGCTTGGTGCATAGTATTGAGAAGTTTCAGCATTTCTGAAACTTCCAGCCCAGCCAGGATGGGGTAAGTGCTACAGTCCTCACTTTTCCCCCCATCAGGTGATTGATGTTGTAGCACCATCATATTTAACTTTTGTAACTAGAGCTTAAACTGACTGCTTGTTTACTCGTGCCTGAGAGGGGAAACGTTTTTTTGCTGGTTTTCCAGACGTGATTGAACTCTGGGTTGCGGAAACCGGTGGAAATATTTTTCTGCCAAACATTGGGTACCATTTGTTCAAGCTTGTTTGGTGAACTCTTAAAAAGTGAGTTACACTTGATTAAATTGACTTGCACAGCTCTCTATCCAACAGTCATATAAAATGGTATTTGTTTTAAGAGTGTAAACAGTCCTTTGTAGGGAGCATAGAGCTGACTCAATCTAAAATCTGTTGACGAGAACACAATGACTTAACATGGATTTAAGTGGTATTTAACTAAAGACAAATCAGGATCCAAGGATAAAAGCCTATTTCTAATCAGTAAAAAAAGTCATTATTTGAGTTACTCAGGTGTCGCTTGTAACCACCTCGGTTTAACAATTATGATCTGTATAATTCTGTATTTTCTTATGTATGGTCGGTTTAAAAACAATACTTGAGGCCAGAGTATGTCTATTCTACGTTCTGCAGATGTTTTGCTTTATGAACTTGAGCTAATTACTTAAGCCTAAATTTGGCACAGTGGCAGCTATTCCTGGGAGTCTCACCTCAAAGAATATCTGAGAGGAATAAGACAAAGCCTGTTTTTCAGGAGCGCTTTGAGAGCTGCAGGGATTTGGCACCGCTGGCGGTAAGGTGCTTGGTGTGTTCAGGAAGCATCCTAAAGCTACGAGCCCCTTTTAATTGGAAAATTTTCTCTTAAGGAGTAAATACTTCTCTAAAGTCCTTCAATGATTTTAGGTCCTTGGAGTTATAATTGCACGAGTTTAAATTTTGCAAGCAGAGTAAAAATTGGACTTTATTTCAGTAACGCTCAATATTTTAATAATATTCTTTTAATAACTATCAAAAGA